TCATCCTACATCACATTTAAAAGGGTACAGAACTGGATCCAGACCCTGCCTGCCTCTCCAACTTTGAAATTCATGCTCTTTCTACTGTGCCGAGATGGCCCCTAAGCCTTGGACATGCAGGTAGCTCTCGATTCTGGAGACCCCTTGAAGCTCCTGCTTTCCCTGCATCTTTCTGACACCTCCATTCTGTCACTCATTCTCTGCAGAAGCATTTTGAGGAACTTCATTTGCCCAGTCACTGTCTTCGTCATTTGTTGAACGAGAATGAATGGGTTGCTTCTTTCCTCGAGCTGATTTACCTTCTAGAAGGCATAATCACACTGAACCGAATTATTAAACAATGCTAAAGTGATTCCGGAACATAGGGGACGGTGCAGTTCATTCTGTCTGGGGTCACGGAGAAGGCTTATCAGAAAATGAGACATTTGACTTAGGCCAGAAAGGTTGAATTAGAAGGAAGGCAGGAAGGAGGGAGGAGAGGGAGATGGGGAAGGCTGTGCACAGAAGGCCAGTTTGTACAGAGACTTGGATTCATAAAAGCATTTGGCAAGGGCACCTTGCCAGGGTGGTTTGCAGAAGAGTAATTTGTAGCAGGAAGGACAGTGCATATTGGAGGATGGATCTGGACACGTGAAGGCAAGGATTGCGAAGGGCCTTGAGTACTGTAGGAAAGTCTCTCTTAACCAGCTTGGCCTGGAAATGGGATTGAATGGGTCATTAAGTAATCTGCATGCATCCATATTATGAGAAAACCATTGTCAATATCCCAAAGATAAGGAATACGATTAATAATGGTCAGAGAAACACTCTGTTGTATGCTTTCGATTTTGTTCCATTTTAACAATCGACAGTGGCAACTGACATTCGGCTTCTCCTCAGCAAGCAGGGAGAGATGGTAGACGGTCTCCTGGCGCCTGATTCTGCTCATCTGTGGAGGAGGCGGAGTCTTCCCAGACTTCAGGGATGGCTGGTCCAAGGAGATGTGGCCCCAGGTTCCTAGTCATCCAGTCTTTCAAGAGATTATAGATCTAAATTGTACATGAGATGTCTCCGTTTAAAAATTCTAGCTCTTCTTTACTCAATGTGGAGAATCGCCACCATCGTGATCGCCGTCCTCGTCGTCAACATCCATGGACTGGATTTGGTCCATGAGTCTGCATTTGACCCTCTTGACCAGCAGCATCCATTATGCAGGCACTGTTCTTGTCTCAGTGGTCCCCAGTCCAAACCTCGAGCCAACACTTGGCACTTGGTCCCCTTCCCTCTCCTTACATGGGTGTTTAAACTTGGGGGTGGCTGCCACTCAGAGGGCTGGTGGTGAGCAGAGCGCCCCTGACATTCACTCTTCGGATCTGGGGAGGGAGGTGCAGTGGCTGACACTGGGAGAGGCAGCTCCGCTTTAATCTAGGAAAGAAAGGGAGAAGCCGGTACCCGAGAAGGGAGTGTCGTCATGGAAGGCGGAGAAAGATGAAAGAATTATTTTTACGGGGTGGGGATGAGGCTGAACTCTCAAAGGCTGGCTAAGGAAGAAAAAAATCTCCTGATGAAATGCCTCACACAGGGAAGATCAACAGAACTAAGACCAAGGAAGTGCCAGAGAAGGCAAGAAGTGCTTGAAGAGGGTCCGGAAAAAAAGTATATGTATATATTTGCTGTTGTTATCAAGTCTGACTTCCAGGGCTTCGGATAAAATATATGCTCCGAATTAGGGGTCAGCAAGCCCATGAGCCAAATTAGGCCTTTTCCCTGTCTTTGTATAACCCTCAGGCTAAGAATGGTTTTTATGCTTTTAAATGGTTGGGCAAAAAAATCAAAAGAATATTTTGTGACAGGTGAAATCAGTATTTATTTACATTTTGTAAATGCTGTCATGCAACACCAGCAGAGTTTGGAGAGCATTAGGTCCACAGCACCTAAAATATTATCATGTACCCACTTAACAGAAAAATGTCTGCCATCCACTGCCTGTGATGGCCGGAGTGGATAATGATGCATGGCTGTGCGTTTGAATTCAGTCCATTTATGAGGCCTCCCTATGTGTCCTGGCCACTGCCAGAACTATCTCCCCTGTTTGGTTTACTCTATTCTTTAATTCTATGTTTCTTTAAAGTTCTTGAAAAATACCATGAACTTCATACCACACACTGGACATTGGGTAGGGGAGCCAACCATGTACCACAGTCACCAGCCCCTGAGGAGCAAATATACACAGAACTTGGTCCCTGCCTTTTAGTGGAGAAATCAGATCGAAGAAGGAAGCACTGCAGTGTGATTAATACTGGGGGCTTCCCGTTTGGGAAAACAGAGCCTGTGTTTGGAAAAAGAGGTTGTGGTTAGTGATGGTTACCTATTTTTCTTTTTCATTATTTCATAGTTTTTGACGTGGGTTTGGAGCAAGGATACATTCAATTCATACAATTCCCAAAATACAACCACTCCTGTTGTATATGACAGTAACATAGAAGTATGAAATCAGAATCAGAGGAAATGTGAGCAACGGTGGTGAGAGCTGGAGGTGCTGAACACAGGAGGACAAGAATACAAATACACTCGTATTGCAATATCTATTTATGCATAATATAAATAAAAATACATTTGGATTGCAGGCAGTAAAGGCCAACAAAATGGGCAGAGTCGAACCTGTGTGGCTCCGAGCTTTTTAGCACATAAAGTGAAAAGGGTCATAAAAAAATCAGCCCTCACTTTCAGAGGAAAAAAGGTACTCATTGCTCAGAAGCAGCAGAAACTTTTCTGTAACAGAGGTCTTCAAAAGAAAAAAGAAGATATCCTGTGCAAAGGACATAGCTATGTATCTCTGTGTCCCACTTACATGTATCTCTCTCATTTCTCTCTGACTGAAATGATCAAGTTCTTTAATAAAAAAACAGTCCATGTAGAAATAAATGGAATGATACTTCATATTTCTACAACTCTGCCATGCCCAAAACACTCTCACAATTTTGCTTATTGGAACACTCTTGGTGAAGAGCAAGTGGATATTTTTACTTCTATTCTGTGTTCAGGAAATGAAGAGTCTAAATGTGTAGATTTCTAGCCTTATAATTGATTTAAGTTTCCTGCCTCCTGGCCCAGTGGTTTTTCCACTTTTATAAAGTGTTTTTTATGTTTGTACTAAAGAGACACAATTCAGTCTGACCCAGGCCTTACCAAAGTAAGGAATACCTCTCCCCTCCCAGGAAGCTGTCTCCTGGAGGTGCCACTGTCCTAGCTGGTAACTTCTCAGTAGCTGCAGTGTTGAAAGCCATCGTCAAATGCTAAAGTTAGAAACAGTATCAGGCTGTTAAGTAAGAGGGGTCAACTTGCAGCTGTTAGTGGAGCTTCTGAATTGTAACAATGTGGCCACTTTGATACATGAGAATCAATTACAGAGAGACCTTGTCAAGATGGCCAAAATTCAGCCTTAAATAATTGAATTCTCTGCCAAACGCTGTCCGCTGTCGTTATCTAGAAATGTAATTATGCAGCTAAATCAAGCAACTAAAATTAGTGTAGTGTAAAAACACCTTGGCTATCTAAATGTGGAGGAATTGACATTCGGATTTAGAAAAAGCCAATAGTTGAATATGTTTTGTGGTGTCTGAAGCTCTCCCAGTTTCGACAAAATCTATATCCTGTGTCCTGTTTAGAGTTAGAGGTGGAATGTGGCAAGCAGGTGTTCAGTTTGAAGGTGATTTGCAATGATCCCTGGGCCTCAAGCATTAGTTGAGTGGATCCACCCAGTTTGCACCATTGCTCTCAAAACGGTGTAAATCTCAGTATAATTCTTTTATGAAGATGAAAAGAACGAAAATTTGAATGTTATCTGTGCCTTCAATCTGAAGCTGAAGATGTCTTTATTAACCATCAAGAGAACAGGAAATGCATCATAAGGATATCTAATAGCCTCTTATACACATCATGAGATGGTGTCAAGGACTTTATTTGTTCAACAACCCTAGGAAGACGGGTCCATTATTATCTCAGTTTTCCAAATGAAACTGAGGTTCAGAGACACTAAGCAACTTATTCAAAATCACACAGCTAGAATGCGGGACACCCAGATTGGTATAATTCCACCCCAAATAATCCTGTAGGAAGTTATCTAGTACCATGGAACATATCCCAGACAATCACGTGGGTATTTTCAAACATCAGAAAGATTACAAATATTGGCTTGAATTTTCTTTGTGTCAGTAGTTTAGGTACATGTTAGATATGCCTTTCAACTCTGGGAATAGGGAACCATCCCTTATTAATATATTACATATTAATATATGCCCATTGAAAGCTCAAAGGAAGTTTTTTTTTTTAAGGCATATGAAATTCTATTACAGAATGAAATACCGAAATGAATACAGTGTGGCCTGGTTAGGAACTGTGTTCATAGCCCAGCAGCGCCTTTAACAAGTGTATGATGAGTAGCAAACGGTTCAGCTGGTATGAGCTTCACACCCATGCCCGTTTGCTACCTGGAACTGTGAGAGTATTTACTTCACACGGTAGCCAGAATGAATTTTCCTAACCCATGTAAATAATTTAGCTCATCCTCTCTGCCTAGTACACGCTGCAAATATTAGCTGGTAGTATTATATTGTTTGCACAAATCGCCCCTTTAAAAGAACCAGAGAGCGAGAGAGAGAAAGAATAAAAAACACAGCCTATCTTCCTAGTTTCTTTTTGATCAGTACCAAAGGCTGCCCACATTCACCTACGTGAGTTTTAAGTGGCAACTGTTAATCGTATCAATTTACATTTTTCATTTATATTCCAGTTGTTCTGTCTGAAATTCCCATACAGACTCGGTCCCTTGCCGTTTGCCCAAATGCATTCAGGAAGAGCCCACATCTCATAAACTGACTGCCTCCCTCTCTGTCTCTGTGTGTCTCTCTCTCTCTCTCTCTCTCTCTCTCTGAGAACTAAATTAATGAAGAGTCTTTGGTTAGTCATGTTAGGCAAGCCATTCCCAAAATAGCACCTTCCATTTTGGTTGTTTCAGCTGTGCAGCTGCTGTGTCTCTTCGGCGTCTGGGAAGAAAACTTTCACATTCAGAGTTGCTGACTGGATTTTCTTTCTTTCCGCTCCCCGCCTTGATGAGCGCTTGGCCCCTGACAGAAGTGATTCGCCTCTCAGCTTTGTAGTTCGGAAGAAGTTGGGTCTATAGATTTTTTTTTCCCCTCGCTCTCCATTGATGTGTTGAGCTTCCGAGGGAATACTCTCTCCACGTAAAGCATGTTGCCTTCTCCAGGAGTCCTCCTGTATCCCTGTGGAGCGCCTATGATCGTTCCAGCAGCCCCCTACTTCCCCGGACTGATCCAGGTAATTCAAGGCCACTGCCAGCAAGCAACTTAACTCCAGAGTGCTCAGAGTAATAATTGGAATTTTTATGGTTGAGAAAGCAAACACTTTTAATACAGGAAAAAGCCCTCGTGTAGTCAGTGGGAAGACAGTAGGAAATCAAAAAGATGGATCACCCTAATCTGGCTATTGACATCTCTCATGGCTGAATAAATGGTGTAGTTGAGCTATATTTGCTTGTATTGATCTGGCTGCTGTTTAACATTCATGCCTTTGCTTCAGGACGTTGACCACAGGGCAAAGGATTTGCTCTCCTTCCCAGCTTTCGGAGGGACTCGGTCTCCCAGAGCAGATCATGAGACAGAGTAACTTATCAAGAGGTGACTTGGTTAAGAGCTTTAACCCGGGAAATAGAAGGGGCTGTAATTCATACCACCCCCTTCACGTGGCTTGTCTGTGTTCATAGACGGCTCCCCCCACCCCCAGGGTGAGTGGTGGCATTGAGGCAGAAAGGAACACTCTATTGATGGTTAATTTATGAAGTTCAGAGATTATTCTAGGAATCCCTTGCCAGCTGTTTACAGCTTAATGATGGCAAGACGTGGGGGATTGAAACGTGTGTCGGCTTTGCTTGTAAGTTACTCATTCTGTGCAGGGGGATCCATCTACCAACAAGATATTCTGCATCTTTCCCCTTTACCATAAGTTTGTCTCTCTAAGCAAGCATTGGCTTCTGGGTGCGTGTCTGAAGTCCCCTGTGAAAAGCTGACATCCACTGGTGACAGAGCCTAAGCAGGAAACCCAGATGGTGTTTTGTTGTTGTTTGTTTTTTGTTTGTTTGAGAACAACCGTCCCTTTGGAATAAATTCTGTATCTCGTTCCTAAACAGGAAAGGAAAATTAAATGTGCACTTTGCTCCTTATGCCTATTCCAACTGTGTATTGAAATTTTGCAATACCCTAACTCACTAGTTAAAATTTCTAGGGAGGGTTCTAGTCAAACACCTTTTTTCTCCATTTCTGAATGTTGTGTGTGAACCGTCAGAATTTTGGTGATTTGAGACATCCAGGGGTGATTCTAAGTAACAGCAAAACATTCTGTCATCCCAGATTCAGGGCCGTTGCTCAGTTTGGAGTCTCCTCTATTACATGTGAGAAATAGATGGACTACCTGCAGAAGGGCCCTTAACAGCATGGAAATTGTTCCATCTTCCTGGCCTGAGCACGCCAGTGTGGCATGGAGTCCGAAGTAGGACTCCATGGCAGACTGGGAGGCTTTTTGCTTCTATTGAAAACTTTGGGTGAAGGTCGGCCAGTGGAATTTTGTCAGACCCTCTGCCGCCCCGTCCGATAAATAATTACAAGCAAATCGTGCCCTTCACTCTGTGCTGGCTGATGCTGAAATTGCTTTTGAAAGTTCTCATAAGTTCCTGTTATAGATTAAGTGCCGGTGTAGGAAAAATAACGGCACCCACAGAAATGGGTGAATGTAATCAGGCTTAATGGACTTGAGAGCTTGTTGGGAATTAAATAACTATCGATTTGCTGGAATGTTGCTGTCATTACGAAATGCCACTCTGGACATATTACCCCGGTGATAGATGAGAAGACGCATGGGTCGGCTGAGGAATTGGGGAGGCCCCATTTCTTCCTCCTTTGCAGAGCGTTTGAGAAACATATCCAGTTATTTTTGGAAAGAACAAGTGATTTTACTTGCAAATCTTAGCCTGATTATACTTTGTTTTCCTGAGTGACACCTCTGGTAACTAGTTACCCATAAGTCAGGAGAGCAGTGTGACGCGGAGCCCCTCAACCAGCTGCTGTGATACACTCGCCATCTTCTTCCCCACCCCCGTGGAACACACGGAAACGCTGCAGAGAGGGAGAGACCAGCTTTATTCCTGGTTTGTTGAGACAGCCTATGTCACTTATCCATTGGCACCAAGAAACTCAAATCACCCCACTGCAGTATCATTTGCAAAGGGAGGAACACCGACTCAAAGGGAGAGAAGTTGTAATGCTCATTCACACGCACACTCACCTTTCCACTCGTGCTTCTGATGTCAGCTGTCCTGCATCCCAGCAGACTCTATGCCAACTCTTTCACCTTGTGGGTTTCTTCCCAACTTTTCAAGGTACAGGATTTTTCCTACAGGGAATTAAGAAGGTGCCCCCATACCTTAATAATGTCATTGGGAAGACAGTAGGATGATCCAAAATAGAGGTTGAGCTCCGTTATCGTCAGTGAGCTCCCTGTGGCTGGGAATATGCGAATAGAATGGTCGTGGCCATTTGGCAGGGTTGGTGTATGGGAGTTTGAATACCTCTCAAGGGCTTTCCAACCTCAAGAGCCAACGACACTGGGGCAGAAGAACTTCTGTGTCATAATTCTTTCAAGGGCCCCCCTTTTTTAAAAAAATTCAAATCACATTGCCCTGTTTTTGTCGGCTGGGTTTAAGGAAAAAAATCACCACCATCATCAAAGTAGTGGCTTTATAACTGATGAGCCTGTTTGATTAGCGTTTAGGTCTAATGAGCCCTTGGCCCTGGGTGGCAAGGTCACACTTGCCCTCTTCGTTCTAGACATCTGTCCCATAGAAGTGCCCTTTGACCGTACGTGGCTACATCATTCTCCATACTCAGACAAATAATTCCCATCTCATCCAGGTATTACACATAATAGGTCAGAAGACTCTTTTCCTACATGGAGGATCGTGTGAACAGAGCCACACTTACCTCACCACACATTTATTAATGTAATTATTCATTCTCTGCACACATATTCTGTACCAGGCACTGTTCTAGGCACCTGGACCATCATAGCCACTGACCTGTGGGTTTGCAGCCCCATGGAAGAGAACATAGGTAAACACAAAACCGTGATACTGCAGTAAAAGCAGCCCAAAAGACAGGTAGGTAACAATTATGGGGCACCTGCTATGTGTCAGCGCTGTGCTCAATAATTACAGATCATAACAATTTATGTTCGTAATAATGCTGGGTGCTGTTGGTCTACCATCTCTTATCTGTAATTTCAAATTCCAAACAGTTCTGAAAATCTGGTTTTTGGGGGGAAGTTTGGCACCAAAAACTTATTTGGGAAGAAAACTTGACCTGAAATGACATGTGGCTATTTGTAGACTTTCTTTATCACACTGTGAATATTCATATATTTTGCTATGGGGATATTGTTGTGTTTGACTTCAGAGGATTGTCCCAGACCCTGCTGAGGCTGTTAGACCTTATCAGTGTTTCTATTGAAATGCCTGTCTGGAAAATAAAAAAAAAAAAAATACTGAATTTCAAAATACAGGGGTCCCCTAGGGTTCTCAGATAAGGAATCACTGTCATGCATTATGACATCCTTTTTGCTCATGGAGAACTAGAAACTGACACTTGGAGAAATTTAACTTGCCCAAGGTCACAAGGAATGTCAGTGACCGAGCAAAGATTTGAATCAGGTCAGTCGGACCAGAGACTTTCCTCTTAACCACTGACCTACTATTGAGGTAGATCCATGGAGATACACATGAAAACAGAGAGAGAGAGAGGTGATGCCTCAGAGTCAGTAGAGAAGAGTGTGGTTCAGAGGGGAAAGTGGCGTTTGAGTTGAGAAAACATGGACTGGGCGAGCCAAGGAGGAAGGCCTTCCTAGCAGAGCAGAGAACTCAAGTGAATTCACAGCGTTGGGCTGACACATGGGGATAGAGCTTTAGTATTTTCCCCAACCCACTGGCACTGTGGGATTTGACATGGTTTAAATATAGGTTTCAAAAGTCAGAAGACATAGATCCACAGGAGCTGGGAGGAAGCTCAGAAATGGAACCCGTAAGCCCTCAATCTCTGTGCCCAGTATAGGAATGGGTCCCATAATGCACTTTTCTGAGTCAAATCCACTGGGTTTGAATCCTGATCACCCTTGACCATCGTTTCTGAGACAGTGAGCTCTCTGAAGGCTGAGTGTCTCCCAACTTAAACTTCACAGAGCTAGACAGTGGCAGAGAAATGCTGAATAATGCTTCTCTGTTGTGGACAGCCATGGTATAAACAAGTCCCACACTGCATTTTAAGGAGAAATCAGCATCACTGAATTTGGCAGTGTATTTTACAAGAGATCTGCATACAACATGCATAATGATACTGGGTGTTATCAAAGTGCTAGTTGTAACGATGGACCAAAAGTAGTAACCATTTCTATAGGAAGAGAAACATGGGGGAACTCGCAGGTCACTTTGATGTGTTCCTGGGTGAATTTAAAGGAAATAAACTTGCTTTTTGGTCTGTGTCTAGTGGAGTTGTTTTCAGATCTTGATATTGCTGCCCTGAAGTGTTATCTACATGTTTGGAATGTCTGCTGATTGGGAAAGAAACCAGAATGTACACCTGATATAAATGCTGGTGGTGTCATTTACTTTGAGACTGCTCCGTCTAAGTCACTAAGTGACTTTTCTGTACTGCCAAAGAGGCCATGTCAACAGCAGACCAAATTAAAGAGTCAGGGAAGTGGCAGAGAGAATTTGGAATCAAACAGGGCCAGGTTGATATATTGGCTCTGGCATTTACTAAGCGTGTGGCCATGGGCTTGTCAATTAACCTCTCCAAGGCTGTTTTCTCAGCTCCAAAATGAAAGCTGGGACTACCTGTCTTGCAAAATGGTTGGGAGCTTTAAATGTGATTCATCTCTTCATCCAACAATTATTTATTGAGCACCTACTCATGTGCCAGGCTGTGGACTAATAGGAGTAGGTGATGAGGCAGAATAGAAAATACACAAGATCCTTTTCAACACGAAGCTTACATCGTGAGGCATGAGAAGGGGTAGGCATGTATATGCTGATGATGTCAGTCTGTTGTGAACGGGACCACTGACAACAGGCATTCAGGATAATTAACCGAAACTCATCACTGACCTCCCTGGGGAGGTTGTGTGCAGGGTTTTGGGGGAGAAAAACACATTTGGGTGTTTGTAAAAGCATCAACTCTTATTGATGATAATGAGAACCTTTCCAGAACCCTGTTCTG